ATGTTGTCCACTGGCGCAATGGCTGAGGACCACGGTCAGTGATCGAGCCTTAGACACCCAATGGAGGAAATGTGGAAGTGACAACATTTCCTAGCTGCGGGTTCCTAGTTAGGGCAGGCAACACCTGAGCAGTGAAAAACGAAGACTTCTCTCATCGTGGAGATGCTTCCGAAAGCCTCAGTATGGTCGGCAGTGTGTGTCTCGGATTGCGGCTGGTCATTCCTCCCATGCATCTTTCGAAGTGTTTCCATATGACCAAGCGTCTCAATTAGCCTCTGCCGAGGAAACCCCACTCGCTGTCTTCTCGTGGTGGAGGTGTTCTCCCACTAAAGTGAGAGGAAGAAAAGCCAATATCCGGGTCGGTGAACCACTGACAGTTCAGACAGGGGAGTGAGCTAAAAACCCTGATTCCATACCAACCAGGAATATGCGTACGAACCACGCACACACCTTTCTGGTTGTGATTGTGGTCACCGACTCGATTGGGCACCTTAGACCTACTTACTTTACGGCGACTGGCTTCTGGGAGAGGATAAGCCAGCACCTTGGACGTTTGACTCCGTCCGAAGGGAGTATGATCCGATGGACTGGACACCGGCCTCTAGTGGATTGCGGTTTTCACATACCGTCCCGCTGCTTCATGGGTCAGGCTTTGGTTAGCCGAAGTATTCGGTTGAGAATTCCCCTGCCTTGGCTCGGGTAACCCAGCGGTATCGCGCCCTCGAAGAAATCATGGATTTTTTCTTTTTATAAAGATGAGTGAATCATGATTTGTTCGGCACACAGTCTGAACTCAGACGTGTGTGAAAAGATAATAATAGTAATCACCGTCACCCAGCAAACAAGCTCCTACATCCATCTTGCGGTTATTGTTCAGTAAACTGTTCCTCTCTGTGTTTATTTCCTAGAGTGAGCTTTCTAAGGGCGAGATTGGATTGACAACAGAAACCAGATGTCCAATCAGCTGGCCTTGTGATACTGAGTTTTATCCAGCCTGTGGCTATTGACCTTTCAGGCCTGATTGAATCCGCGATTATGAGGAACCCTCCAGTATCGTTCACGTGGTATAAACGCACGCAAACCATCACATCACGTTATCAAGAACGCGTGCGCAAATAAACGCAAAGCAAGGTTGACCATAGCACCACACAGCTAAGAATTTAACCAAGAAATAACGAAAGTGACTTAGAAGTGTTGGAATCAAAACATGCAAGCTATAAAGTGACGCAAAGTATTTTGGTCATTGATACACTTTGACAGAAAACCAGGAAATGTTGATGAGTGATTCACCTGTAGTGGACCAATGAAAGTGATGACACCCCAGCCCATCTGTTTCGAATCGGGTTCGACCAATACAAGCTGCTGACTATAGTTCACCAAGAAACGCTTTTCATGACTGTCAAGGAGAAACAGAGAAAGAAAACAACAAATCATTACGGAAGAAGAGCCTTCGATGAAGCCAGGTAAATCCAGAATTGGGTTTTACAACGTACCTGCCTTTACTTTCCACAGTACATCCGATAAGCGCTTCTGATGCTGTAACAAAAGAGCAAAAAATGAAGAATAAACACAAATGAAAA